CCCAAAACAGAAGGAGTCAACCAGATTATCTTTATTCACCCCCAAAAAACAGTAAAGGGTTTCAGGGTCAGCATTAGGCTGTGAATTTGATTCTTAAATGGAACTTGGGTTCCAAGAACATGACTTGTGTTGCTGGATTAGTAGTGGGGGAGCTTGGTCATTATTTAATGGAGCAGAGAAAGGAGGCCAGCTGCAGGACAGCAACTGAGGAAAAATACATGATTAATGTAGAGAAGATTGCTGACAGGACAAAAAGTAAAAAAAGGTACATAACCTCATCAGTTCAGTTAAAAAAACTGAAAGTGAATACTTCACCGGGCTGTCGGTAAAAAAGGATATTGTTGGGGAAAAGAGTTAAATCTTGCTTTTCTCAAAGTACATGGTACAAAGCTGCCAAAGTGATTGAAAATGCTTAATAAATTGCCAAGAACACAGCTTGTGTCTGTCAATCTACATTTCACTCTGGAAAGAGTCTTGGCTAGTGTTACCATCAGCTGAAGTCATAACAGTAAAGAAAGATGACCAATAACATTTTGCAGAGCCAATTAAAAACTGGGGCAAATGCACAGGATGATACAAAGCTAAGCTGAAGTATTGCAGAGATGAAAAGTTAACAGCATTCTGCACTTATTTTTCAGTTCTATTTATATTAAATTAACTATTCAAAAAATGAAGTTCCACAGGTTGCAAAAGACAGCTTCTTACAAGGGTTTACATGAATGCTGTATGGGTGTGTCAGGGAGAACAGAACCCAGATATGACAAAACCAGCTATTACCCTGTAGGGCCCCATCCTGAATTACCACTGCCTGTTCTCCTGAAGCAGTGCAGAGTTTCCGGTTTCAGAGAGAAAAGTATTGAACAGTTGCCAACCTTATGTCCAGCAAAATTTAAGCTGGATTTCATTTTTGATGAGTTTCCAATCATTTCATTACCACTGACAGTAAGCCACACATGCAACTCTTTACATTCATCCACACTGGGATTTGTTTTGGAGAAACAGCCTTTAACCTGGTGAAGATATTGCAAAATTAACAGCTTTTATACAGTTGATCCACAAGCCTGATAATTGCTTAAAAGCTACACATTAAATATTAAATGGTTAAATTAAAACACTAACACTTAGTTCTTAAATTACACTCACACCTTGTTTAATACAAGTAAACATCTCAGGAATGGAACTTACTTTGGAGTTGGAGTACAATTTCTTCAACTGAACATCATTGACAAAGTCACGGCCTTTCTGTTCTATCAGGAAAGCACACCTATTTTGGATAATAGCTGTTATTTTCCAGCAATTTCTCAGCACATATTTACGTTACAACTGAAATTACATTGGAAGCATCAAGTCTTCTGCAACATTTCTTTATTTCCCCCCAAGCTTCTATTTGAGTAAAGTCTCATGAAGCCTGGAATCTGTACCCTACTAACAATCTCAAAACAGGTCAAAGACCAGATTTTTTAAAAAAAAGTGCTGTGTGCAACTAGATTTTTCTGACAAAACAACGCCAGAGGGAAATAATTTTCCTTGAAGGCAAAGTTCCACTTCAGGACTGGTGACACATTAGCTTTGCAAAGCTAGAGGGGCAAAACAATAAACATGCAGCATAGCAAACATAGGCTACTCTTCATTAGTCTGTTAAAAACAAAACACAAATTGAACACTGGTGTTCAATCACATTTTTTATTCCCAAAGACCTCAGGATGATAGCAGGGAGTTCTCACCAAGGTAGTGTACAGAATGAAATATTACACCAGACTGGGCCTGATCAGAGCAATACAGATCTAACATACCTTCTCCTTTGTATTGGAACTCAGACATTTGCCTTAACTATTTACTGTCAACAGATGCAAATAAAGGCAACAACAGATGTAAAAATCAGCTGAGTGACAGGCAATTAGAGTAGTTTACAAGTATATTTTCCAGTTTGAAGGAAGGCTTTAAGTCAAGTTAAGGAGTTGTTTTGGGACCTCTGCTCTTATTGATAAGAACAATCTAGGCCTTTGTGCAGAAGGTACAATTTCAATATTTGATAACAAAGCTTCAAAAGTTTATGAACACTAAGGAGGATAGCAGAGAATAAAAGATGCCTGATGCAAAGTGCAGAGAAATGGCAGATGACATTTAGCAGTGAAGAGAGCAGTTTATATTGCATTTTTCTTCACAAAAGGAGTATAATTGTAAAAAGGAGGGTGGATGAACAATCATAGCAGGGCAGATTCAGTGATTACAAAAGCATGTAAGATCCAAGGCTTGATTAATGGGCATTGAACAGGGAAGTGTCAACTCATGAAATGCTAGAGACTTGGAGGAATTACAAAGTGATGCTTCAGTTATATTTGGTATTGCTAAGACCACAGTGAATTCTGTGTGCAGTTTTGCTAACTTCCTTGAAGGATGTAAATGCATTTCCAACAGTTCAGAGTTGGTCTACTAAACTGATACCTGAACAGGAATAGATTATTTGAAGAGGACTGGTTCAACAGGTTGGCTTGTCTCCACTGGGAGTTGAGGAATGAGGGTTGAAAACAGGGTAAATTGATTGAATTAGAAGATTCTGAAAAAAAACATTTAAGCAGATGTGGAAAATAGGTTTCATCTTATGGAGAAGTCCAGAAGAAAATTTTTGTCTGAAAAAAAAAAAAAAAAATAGATTAGTGGCCTTTCAGGACAGATGAGAAGCCATTATCTGCAATATGTGCAACTTGGGTATTCCCTGCCTCAAAAGGTGGCGGCAGTAAGGTAATTGCAGAGGCACATCTGGACATTTCCTTTCCTCATAATGCAGAACAGAAGGGATTACAGTTAACACGGTGTAGAGCTGGATGAACACAGCAGGCGAGCAGGAAAGCTGACGTTTCGGGTCGAGACCCTTCTTCAGAAATGGGGGAGGGGAAGGGGATTCTGAAATAAACAGGGAGAGAGGAGGAGGCAGATAGAAGATGGATAGAGGAGAAGATAGGTGGAGAGGAGACAGACAGGTCGAAGAGGCGGGGTTGAAGCCAGTGAAGGTGAGGAGTTAGGGAGGGGATAGGTCGGTCCAGGGAGGATGGACAGGTCAAGGAGGTGGGATGAGGTTAGTGGGTAGGAGATGGGGGTGGGGCTTGAGGTGGGAGGAATGGTTAGGAGGCGGGGACTAGCTGGGCTGGTTTTGGGATGCGGTTGGGGGAGGGGAGATTTTCAAGCTTGTGAAGTCCACATGGGAACCCTGCAGCCCAAGGGTATCAAAGCGAAAGACGAGATGCTGTTCCTGCAGCTTTCGGGTGGCGTCATTGTGGCAACGCAGGAGGCCTAAGATGGACAAGTCGTCCAAGGAGTGGGAGGGGGAGCCGAAATGGTTCGCGACTGGGAGGCGTAGTTGTTTGTTGCGAACTGAGCGTAGGTGTTCCGCAAAGCAGTCCCCAAGGCTCCGCCTGGTTTCCCCGATGTAGAGAAGGCCACAACGGGAACAGCGGATACAGTATACCACATTAGCAGATGTGCAAGTGAACATCTGTTTGATGTGGAAGGTCTTCTTAGGGCCTGGGATGGGGGTGAAAGGGGAGGTGTAGGGGCAGGTGTAGCACTTGCTTTGGTTGCAGGGGAAAGTGCCGGGGCTGGAGGGGAGCGTGGAGCTGACAAGGGAGTCACAGAGGGAGTGGTCCCTCTGGAAAGCAGATAAAGGGTGGGGAGGGAAAAATGTCTTTGGTAGTGGGGTCAGATTGCGGAAATGTTGGAGGATGATGCGTTGGATTCGGAGGTTGGTGGGGTGGTACGTGAGGACGCGGGGGGTGGTGGATTCTGTTGTTTCGGTTGTTATTGCAGGTAGGGGGTGTGAGGGATGAGTTGCGGGAAATGCGAGAGACACAGTCGATGGCATTTTCAACCACTGCGCAGGGGAAGTTGTGGTCCTTGAAAAACAAGGACGAGGACATCTGGGATGTCCGGGAGTGGAATGCCTCATCTCGGGAGCAGATGCGAACAGTTCATCCACTTCACTAACAGGAATTGGGAATAGGGGATGGCCCTTCTGCAGGAAGGTGGGTGAGAGGAGGTGCATTCTACATAGCTGTGGGAGTCGGTAGGCTTGAAATGGATATTGATTTCCGGGTGGATGACAGAGATGGAGACAGAGAGGTCCAGGAAGGAGACAGAAGTATCAGAGATGGTCAGGTGAACTTAAGGTTGGGGTGCAAGGTGTTAGTGAAGTGGATAAACTGTTCGAGCTCCTAGTGGGAGCACGAGGCGGTGCCAATACAGTCATGACTGTAACGGAGGAAGAGGTGGGGGATAGCTTGTGTAGCTTTGAAAGAGGGATTGTTCCACGTAACCTACAAAGAGGCAGGCAAAGCTTGGGCCCACGGCCACCCCTTTGTCTGTAGGAAGTGGGAGGAATTGAAAGAGAAGTTGTTGAGGGTGAGGGTGTCAGTGGAGGGGGACTGGTCGGGCCTGCGGGACAGGAAGAAGCGGAGGGCCTTTCCGCCATCTGCATGGGGACTGGATGTCCATGGTAAAAATGAGGTGTTGGGGACCAGGGAATCGGAAGTTTGGGAGGAGGTGGAGAGCATGGGTGGTGTCATGGACGTGGGTAGGGAGTTCCTGGACCAAGGGGGAAGAAAATGGAGTCGAGATAGGTGGAGATAAGTTCGGTGGGGCAGGAGCAGGAGGAGACAATGGGTCGACCAGGGCAGTCAGGTTTGTGGATTTTGGGAAGGAGATAGAAGCGGGCGGTGCGGGGTTAGGGAACGATGAGGTTGGAGGCTGTGGATGGGAGGTCACCTGAGGTGCTGAGGTTGTGGATGGTCTGAGAGAGATGATGGTTTGGTGGTCGGGGGTGGGATCATGATCAAGGGGGCGGTAGGTGGTGGTGTCGGATGGGTGGCGCCTGGCCTCGGCGACGTACAACTGCACCTCCCTTGTCTGCGGGTTTTATGGTGAGGTTGGGTTTGGAGCGGAGGGCTGCACGTTCTGCAGGGGAGAGGTTGGAATGGGAGAGAGGGGTGGAGAGGTTGACGTGATCGATGTCTCGACGGCAGTTATAAGTTCGGTGGGGCAGGAGCAGCCATCCTGGACTGTCATTCAAATACTGCTAATCTGTTTAAGCCATTGTGGATTTGATCTGAAAAGTGTGTCAGCACCTCACTCAAATTCCATGAAATTTTACTCCAGCAAGGGATAGTGGCAAAGTGAAGAAGAGAAGCGCAAATAATCTGAAACAAAAAAACAACACAGGAGCAAATAATTTTGCTAACGTTAAATGGAAGTTGCTGGAAACATTTGGCATTTTACCCTGGAAACCACTTGGCATGTTGCTCCCAGGCTTCATCAGAAGACTCCCAATTTCTGAGGCCTCCATCACAGTGAAAACACTTCACATTGTCGTCGTCACCTGGAAAAATTAAGACCAAAACAGCATTTTTTGAAACCTTAGTGGTTTCATTTAAGGGTTGCACAACATGTCTTCCAAATTCAAAAACATTTTGGCGAAGTTTTTCATACCTTGCCTCTCTCACAAATACAATATGTTCGCTCCAGTTAAGAAAAATGTTAGTTTATGCAATTTGGGAGTCCCTGGCTTGGCAAGCACGAGTTGTTGTCACCATTACTTCTGGGTATTTGGGGACAGACAAGCCAATTTTCTGCACTACCACAGTTGCAGATCTACTCACGCCAAGAATTGGGAAAGCAGTTCCATTTAGGTCAAAATTCTGGAATGGTAAATGCAGTTCTAAGTCAAATGGGAGGGACAGGGCTTGGAGTGGAACTGACAGGTGGTGTTTGATGCATCTGCAGGCCTCATTCTTCAATTTCAAAGATGCTATTTGAAAAATTACACCACCTTGTGTGTTACTAGATCCCAAAGACTACCATGATTTTAAATTAGTTGCTCGATTTGTAGACCGCTGGCTTGACAGATCATTTTCAGCCACAAGTAACAAATGGATGATTTCTCTCTGCCTCCTTCAGTGGTCCCAAACATCAGGTGCCAGTTTAGCTACTTTTGAAAGTCACCCTGTACAAGAGTTATTGTACATCTCTGGGCCATGTGGGCATCAAGTCAGGCCTCCTGGTCTACAAGCAAGGACACCACCACTGCATGACAAAGCCCTCCAGCCATTTGACTTTACTTAATGATATCAAACAGCTTAAAAAAAAAAACACACTACCAACTACTGGGGCCTGACAACATTCTAGCAAAAAGGACTGAAGACTTCAGCTTCAAAAACAGCCATGACCCTAGCCAAGTTGTTCCAGTACATCTATAAACACTACTATCTACCAAGCATTGTCAACTGTTTCAGAATGATGTCCCCATCACAAAAAGGGCCAATCCAATTCAGCAAATTAACACCCTGTCAGTCTACTCTAAGCCATAAAAGCAGGTGTCACTGCTGGCATCAAGTAGCGCTTACCTCAACGAACACCAGTCAACAGGTTTGGGTTTCACCCAGATCACTCAGTTCAGGAACCAACTGGAGCCTTGCTCCAAACACTGATGAAAAAAAAAAAAACTGAGCTCCCACATAAAGGGGAGAATTACTTCACTGAATATGAAAGCATCATTTGAGCATGTATAGTTTCAAGTGAGCCCAAACAAAACCAAATGAGCAAAGTGAAAAACAAAAAGGCATCTCATACTGGTTAAAGTTAGTCACAGTACCAGTTGTCTTAAACTCAACACCTTCAGATGCTTCAATGACCTTCCTGCCATTCTAAAAAAAGTCAGTCATACAGCATGGAAACAGACCCTTTGGCCCACCTTGTCTGCACTGATCACGCATCCCAATCTTACCTCATCCCATATGCTAGCATTTAGCCCATATCCCTCTAAACGCTTCCTCTTCATATACCCACCCAGATGCCTTTTAAAAGTTGGCATTGTACCAGTGTTCATCACTTTGAGCACCCCATTCCATACATGCACCATCCCATGTGACAACATTGCCCTTTTCAAATCTTTCCCCTTTCACAATAAACCCATGCTCTCTAGTTGGAGTCCCCCACCCCGGGGGGAAAAAAAAAAAAAAAAAAAGGACCTTGGTTGTTCACCTTATACTTGCCCCTCATGATTTTCAAAGCTTCTGCAAGGTCACCACTCAGTGGTGAAAATAGTCTAGCCAATTCAGTTTCCCCCCGAAAGCTCAAACCCTCCAATCCTGGCAACATCCTGCAAGTATTTTCTGCACTCTCACATTTAGCATATTCCTAAAGGGAAATACTGTACACAGTATTCCAAGAATGGCCTCACCAATGTCCTGTACAGCCACAATATGACATCCCAAAATCTGTACTCCATGCACAGACCAATGAAAGCAAGCATGCCAAAAACCACCTTCACCACCGTGTCTACCTACACCCCTAAACATCTGTTTGGCAACACTCCCTAGGGCTGTACCATCACATCTGCAAGTCCAGCCCTGGTTTGCCTTTCCAAAAAGAGTGCAGCTCCGCATATCTGTCTCTCTTTGGCCCATTGGTCCATCTGATGAAGGTCCCATTATGACACATACTTCTTAGGTTCACATCGAAATCATTTACATAAATGACAAAAAGCAGTGGACCATCTTCAACTGTTGTGGCACACCACTGGTCACAGGCCTCCAGTCTGAAAAACAACCCTCTACCACCACCCTCCGTCTCCTACTTTCAAGCCAGTTCTGTATCCAATTGGCTAGCTCTCCCTTTATTCCATGTCATCTCACCTTACTAACCAGTTGGCCGTGCAGAAGTTGGTCGAATGCTTTTCTGAAGTCAATATAGACAACATCTGCTGCTCTGCCTTCGATCTTCTTTGTCACCATTTCCAAAAAAACTCTCAAATTAGAGAGACATGATTTCCCCATGCACAGAACCATCGTACCTATCCCCATCAGTCCTTGCCTTTCAAAATTAAAAATGTAAGTCTGTCCTTCAGAAACCCCTCCCAACATGCCCACCACTTAAAAAGCAACACCAACTATTACCCAGCCTCCAGTCTTTTGGCACGTCACCACTGCTGAGATTTGTATCATTGATAGCCAAAGGGCTCAGCAATTTCTTCCCTAGCCTTGCACAATCCTGAGATACATCTGTTGAGGTCCCGGGGGTTTGTCTACCTTTATGCATTTTAAGGAGCTCCAGCACCACTTCAGGATATGTGTATTTATTTCCAAGGTCCCTAACTTGCATGTTATTTATTTGACTCGGGAAAATACTGATCCAAAATATTTGTTCAGTATCTCAACAGCCTCCTGACATCCCACATGACAGGGGTCCCATTCTCACCCTAGTTACTCTTATCTGTAAAATATACAGAATCTCTTGGGATTCTCCTTAACCCTATTTACCAAAGCTATATCCCCTTTTTGCCCTCCTGATTTCCCTTTAATATACTCCCCGTTGTTATACTCCTCCAGGGATTCACTTAGGTCTTGCCCCTTTTTGAGCACAGCCTTATCTTCTCCAGTCAACCAGCATTCCCTACATCTACGAGCCTTTCCCTTCACACTAACAAGAACATATATACTATGTGCAGCATCATTCACAACTTCAGATACTCAAAGTGTCTATATCCAAATACAGCAAGATCTGGGTAATTCCAGACTTGAGCTGACTAGTGGCAAATAATATTTAAAGGCAAAGAATTACCACCTTAAAGAGATATTGCTGAATCTTCCATTATTCTAGGTAGTTATTGTTGACCAGAAACTTAACTACACCAGCCATATATAGAGTGGCTACAAGCACGGTCAGAGGTTTCAAATAAAGTAAATAACTCACCTGATTTGCTAAACTCTACTCTCCATCTATAAGACACAAGTCAAGAGGGAGATGGAATACTCTCCAATTGCCTGGATGAGTGCAGCTCCATCACAAGCAGCTCACACCAGGCTGTGTGACTGGCTCCACATCCACAAGCATTTACTCCCTCCACCATTGACCCTCAGTAGCAGCAGTGTCTACCATTTAAAATCCACCACAGCAACTCCTTCAACTGCATGTTCCAAATTAGTTTCCTCTCATTTAGACAAACAAGTAGACCTCCAAGCCACACAATTCCAACTTAACATTGCCATTATTTCAAATGGGGCTGGGAGAAATTCAGAACATTTTCCTGTGGGCAATACTACAGCCAGGAGTGCAGAGTTCTACCACTCAAGGTTAATTAGGGATGGGTGATAACGCCCTTGTATTTGTGGAAAGAGAATTACATAAAGTAATATTGCACTGCTCGCTCATAAGTGTCTGGAATGGCAAAACACTCGAAGCAATAGAATATGGTGAACCCCTCTTCCACATGAAGACTAAATTGACTAAAATTTCTGTGATTGTGGGAATGGAAAAGTTAATGACACTGGAGATAGATTTCCTTCTCAAGTGTTTTGAGAAAAGTGCCACCCAGTCAGAGAAATAAAACGCTGGCACTCAACATGGACAATAGGCAGTGCAATAAGTTGCAAAAGCAAAAAACAAAAACCTCATTCCCATAAACTAAACAAGTAAACAGAGCTAACAGAACTTTGTGCTTCATGTCCAAACTGACTATTCCCACTCATTAACTAGAGTACAGTTCAGAAATTGCTGGTGGGTTGCAGGACTTCGTTACATGTGAACCTATTAGAACATCTTTTGCATACTTTGTAAAATTGCTCATTGTTAGTGGTGACAGTAGGCAAAATATGCTACTCTTTAACACCATCCAACAATTCGGCTAGTTAAAAGAAACTAGTTGCAAGTGTCCTGTAAGTAATGCATTCAGAACCTGAATTCAAGATCTGAATCAAAAAAAGTGGTCTCCAAAGTGGATAGATTATTTCCTCCATTTCCCCCCCACCATAGCATAAGAAATAAACAAGGTTGCAGATGGAGTATTGGCAGGAGCGGGGGGGGGGGTGTGGTGTGGTGGTGGTGGTGAGCGGTTACACACTTGGGTTGAGAGAGAGTAGAAAAGCACATTTGTTTAAAAAAAACCAAAGGAGGCATCTAGTTGCAGTGCTTAAGGTTTTAAAAAGAGGAGGACTCATACTTGAACAGTAACTACTGTTAAATGTATGACCAGTTATAGGCAAGTTGCATGCTCGGCTTTGTTTTATGGACTTTGAATACAACAGTCTGCAGTTGCATTGACAGAGGGACAGCACCTGCAGTAGTTGGGCTGTTAAGGAGAATGGTCGAATAAAATAGATTGCTCATTGTAACAGACACTGTGCATTTATTTAAATCAGTAAAACACATTGCAAGTTAGCAAGCAACATTCCAGTAAAGCCACTAATTATATGTGATTTCTGTTCTAAGGCCAGAGGGGACATGCCACAGATTTAGTCAATTCAGAGACCATGTTTAGTTAACAGCCTAATGATGCACATTTTAATTGAGGTGATGCACAGCTTCAAACCAGTGGGATACCACTAACATCCTGATCATTAGAGCCCACTGCCCATTATCCCTATTCCATTTCCCACTAGTTACCTAGTTTCCCAACTGGATCAACAATTTAATGTCAATTCTACATGCCTCAACATGAGCAAGAATTAGGAGTTGATTGTGTTTGTGGGCAACTGATACCCTCTGGAAGTCCTTTTAACCAATGTTAAAGTGCACACATGCTCCAAATTTAAAAAAGTTGTAATTTTAAAAAGACTCAGAAGCCCAGTCTACCACACTTCAGTTTACAAAAATGAAAAAACCCTGTCATCTTACAATTAAGTTCCAGAAAAACTCAATGTTTGGCTAACTAGTGTGAAGTTGTCTGGAGGGAGAAGAAATTTAAAATCTCCAGCTTCCTGAAGCAAGGGAACTTTCAACTAAGTTGGTACATGATCTTCTACTGGGATAGCAGCCCCGTCCTCTAGGGAATTAAATATTATATTCTGTTCAACCCCATTTGAGAACTCCACTCCTGATTTCGTTACTTTCCATATGTCTGGCACGCTATCCTCTTGCTTAATTAGGAAGATCAATAAAATTATTCAGCACGTGACATTTTTTAATGAAGTGTAAAAACTACTTTAGCTGCAAAAACAAACTGACAGGCATACCAAGTGTCATAAGAAGCCTGGACTGACTAAACACGCAAGAATCAAGTTTACTTAAGAAATTTACCATACCTGTGCTATAAAATCCAGCTCTTGCAAGATCAGCAATATTAAGTGGAAAACTTATTTGGCATTTGAAGGTTTGAAGACGTGAATCAAATGTCTGCTTGTCTGGATGCTTAGGTAAATCAGAAGTATTTGCTTTTGGTTCATTTACAGACTGGTTAACATCTATTGTTTCACTGCAATTTGCATCAATTGGTATATTTCCAATAAAACGCCCTGAAACAAAAGCACACATTGGAAAATGCCTCTTGTGTTCAGACATTGCTCGATCTCCAGGTTCCCAGTTTTTCATTAACCCTCCACAACAAAAGCATTGTACTTGATCATCTTTGTATGTATAATAAAGTCCTGCTTTAGCAAGTTCTCTTGGTGTTACAATCCCATAACTCGGCCACTTGGTAAAGGTAGAAAGTCTGGCTTCTTCACTGCACATGGCAGGATTTTTGGGTCGTAGGTGCGAAAGGTCTTCAATACTCTTCCTTTTCACACGATTGCTGAGAATTTGATTACAATATTGGTGGACAACATTCAACTGGTTGCAAGGGCCATTTTCCAATGCATGATTACTACTTGCAGCTGCTTGGTCAGAGTTTTCAGGGTCATGAGATGTGACTAAACAATGAGAGTTTGCAATTTGTTCATTCAGGCTTGAACCATTAATAAACGGACAAGCTGGAAATAGCTGCCTGTGTTTTCGTACAGCAGAATCTCCATGTTGCCAGTTATCAACTGCACCACCACAGCTGAAACATTTAACCTGGTCTTTGATACCAGTGTAAAAGAAACCTGCTCTGGCTAATGTTGCTTCAGATACTGGGGAATCAGATGGAAAGTTGATAAATGTTCCAAGTCTATAGATTTCATTTGAGAGATCTTGTTTACAATCTGTTGTAATATCCATAATTGGAGAGCAAAATATCCCATTCAAGTGCTTGATGCCAAGGGTTCTTTATATTTTCTATGTTCCAGTAACTTTCCAATCTGTGGTTCAGATAGCCAGCTCTTTCTGCGGAGATTTCACTGTGCACCTGTCAAATTAAGCACTCATTACAAATCATGGCTTCCCGATTCTGACTCCACTTCCAAGTTCAAACGGCTTATTTTACTGACATACACTTGGCAGTGAATTAAAATAGACATTTGCTTTAAAATTAAACACAAAAGACCAAGTATGCATAATACTCAGAATGATTGTGTTTAACATGCACTATGAAGTATGCAGTAGCTCAAAAAAGGTCAGTTATCTTCCAGAGATTGTCTAGTCCACACATTTCAATGAAACAGTACTTGCTGAAAGTTGCACAATTTTGTTTTTTAAAAAAAAAAGAAATAGGTGAACAAAATATCCAATATCTACTCATTGCAGTCGTTTACAAAGGTGGCAAAGTTACTAAGAAGTTGCAAGATGTTCTTCTACCAACTCCAACATATCATCTGTGACAAACAAGAGGCCTCAAGACACTTGAGGAAAAAAAGTCACTGAAAGATTCCTCAGACTACCTATATTAGCCTTCCCTCCGGCAGTCAGGCAAACTCACTCCATAATCAACGTTATGGTGAACTAACACTGGCAACTCAAGCACTTGAGCTCAACTGCTTCAGGCTCATTGAAAGCCAACAGCTATTCACACACAAGTTGAAAACCTGCTCCAGGAGGTTGACTCTTCTGGGAAGAGTCTTTTCTGGCATTTAAGCTACAGATTTTTTGGGAATATGAGTGAACACACGAGTCAAGTGCTTTCAATCTCTTATCAATTAACTTGATGTGAAGGGAATCCAAGCTGTTCATTATTTGCCATCTCTAAAAAACCAACCTTCTGCAAAGTCAGCACTTCAGTTTAATAAAGAAACTCAGCAGCGAGCTCAGATGCAAGCCTGACACTCAATTTGGCTGGTTAGTTTTTATATGATTTGTTTCCAAGGCCATTGGTCTACCTGTATGATAGAAAAGTGGACATATTTTGGACGCAGATAACCAAGGTACATATCAGGCAAAAAAAAAACTAGTTACGCTTTCACAATGCAACTGCTTTACCAATACATTTACTTTCACTACAGCCTCAATTGCTAAGGCTTCAAACTATTATTTGTGTCTCTCCCCCACTGGATAGTCCTGTGGGACCAAGGTCACATGGTGCAACTGTGCCTGGAAATATTTGACTCAAAAGCATGATTCTATGACTTTTGTGCAGAGAATTCAAACAAAGCAGTCAGAGCACAGAAATAGACCTTTGGTCTAACTAGTCCATGCCAAGTCTATTCCCAAACTAAACTACTTCCACCTGCCTGCTCCTGGTCCACATCCCTCTAAACCTTCACTATTGATGTACTTATCCAAATGTCTTTTAAAGATGGTAATTGTACCCACATCCACCACTTCCTCAGGAAGCTCATTCCTGACATGAACCACTAAAGATATGGGTGAGTTTTTTTGAAAAAAACTTCTGTCCTTGCACTTTAAAACTAGGCCCCCAGTCTCAAAATCCCCCATTCTAAAGGAAAAGACAACAACTATTGTCTATAGAGATAGTAGGAACTGCAGATGCTGGAGAATGAGATAACGAAGTGTAGAGCTGGATGAACACAGCAGGCCAAGCAGCATCGGAGGAGCAGGGAGGCTGACGTTTCGGGCCTAGACCCTTTTTTCTGAAGGGTCT